GGATGCAGCACCATAGTCGGCTACAACATCCAAGCTCTGCTCCTCATCTACGCTGACGATGAGCAAGCGCAGCGTCTGCTCAAGGCTCACGATAGCAAGAAGAGCAAGTACGACGCTTGGAAGTTGGGTCACCTGCCCTGCTTGTCCCCTTGCTGCCAGGCCGTCTCGAGGCTGGTGTTGATTGGACATGCGGCGAGCGAGGCTACGGTCAAGTGCGACAGCTGCATGGCCACCTACTGCGCTGCTTGCTCGATGGCGTCCGGAAGCTTGGTTCCCTCCCACATTCTCGTCGACTGCGAGCAGCGAGTCCTGACTGAGAGGGGTTGCGAGCTCTCGATCAGGTGTACGATGCGACGGGTGATGAGCTGAGACGAATGAGACTGCGCGACCCTCCCGCAGCGCTCAGACGGTACCCTCGCCCGCCGCCCGCCGCCCGCGACCCTCGCCCGCCCACAGTTGACGGCAGTCAAACGCATGTGGCGGCAGCAGACTCGAGGACGCAGGAGGTCGAGGCGCAAGGGACCGAGCAGGAAGACAGAGGCGCTGAAGCCCAGCAAGACCCCCGGCTGCGAGCACGACTACTTTGGATGGATCTGTACAGGGGGGAAGACCGACTGGAGGGCGAGGAACGCCTTGAGCTCCATGAACACGTGCGCTGGAGGATGAGGAGATTTGAGGAGGAAGGCGACTACGTGGACGAGGAGCTGCAGCAGACTATGCAAGGCATGCGAGACCGGCTCAGCAACATCAAGCGGAGGGAGGAGCTAGAGATCTCCGCCCTTTCCCGGCAGCTCCATGCTCGTCCTGCCGACAAGGTCGCCGTCGAACTGCTCGATGCGCGTCTGCGGATCGTCGAGCAGAAGCGTGAGCTGTTCGAGAGCACGCGACAGACGCTCGAGGGCATGATCCGCAACCCGGCGGTAGAGGACCCGCAGCACCGTGCTCCGCCGGAGGCGACGACGTCGCTGAGCCTTCAAGACATCCACAGCATGTGCGATAAAGCTTTTCTCACCTCCCTGAAGGCGAGGATTAGCAGGATCGCCAGCGGCGAAGAGCGCGAGGAGGCCCGAGCAGAGGCTCCCAGTGACCAGGAGGAGATCGCAAGGACCTCCAAGCCCTGTACCAAGTGCGGGTATCGCATCGTCAAGACGGGAGGATGCGACCACATGACGTGCAGGAAGTGCCGGCACGAGTTCTGCTGGAGGTGCCTCAAACCAACGATCGACCACTTCCACAGCAGCTGTCAGGGGAAGCCAGACCTGCTGTCGTTCTCTGAGGAGCTACAGCCTGCCATCAAGGACGTCATCGACAAGTACCGCGGAGTCGAGTCGCCTATCGAGAGCAGCCTAGTCGAGTACGCGCACAGGCACTTGGCTCCCGGCCAGCCTGTCGACGAGGACAGGAAGAGAGCGGACTCGCAGCGGATCTCCGCAATGCTGGAGCGGCGCGAGCCCTTCATGCTCAGATACTTCGACCCCCGCGAGGTCAGACGCAGAGCGGAGATGAGGAGACTGCAGGATATGCAGCGGGAGGTTGAGCAAGAGAGGATCGCCTGCTCCTTTGTGCTCCGTCAAGTCCGCGACAGCAGTCGCAGCCCCATCAGCAAGGACGCAGCCCTCCGAGTCTGCTCGGACCCCTCCAAGCAGTACCTCAAGTACCGGGCCGCCAAGCGCAGCCTCTTGGACGCGCAGGAGAAGATGAGGAGGGAGACACGTGAAGCCCCGGCTGACTACGTCGAGCGTCAGCGCCGCATGATCGACTGTCAGTGCCACGTCATCGACGTGG